GGTTCAGGCTGGAGAGGGAGAAAGAGAGAGAGGCTAAGGGGCAATATCAGGGAGTAAGCCCGGGCAAGCTTCCGCAGCTCACTGCCTTCCAGGTTGTGCGCCCCCAGTGAAATGAAAGCAAGGGGTCTAGAGAAAGGAACAGAAGATTCCCACAGGGGCTCACCCATCCTGTTGTGGCAGAAAGGTTCTGCACAGTCTTTTAATTTGGAGTTTGGAAGGAGTCCCTCAGCAGGTCTTCTCTGCATTCCCATGGTGATGCTGAGTCAGAGAAATTAGTGGAAGAAAAGTAGAAAAGCAGATAGGACAGGTGGACTCCTGCTCAGTTAGAGAACACGTCTCCTACTAGCCCCCTAGAAATGGCATCAACTCTTTGCTCAAGGCCAGCTGATCTGCTCGGGGCATAGGTATATGAATCCCAGCCACTCTCAGATGAGAGGGGCCATGGCGAACTCAGGTGGGACGAGTTTATGTCCCTTGATCCCTTCATGGTTAGTCAGAAAAGATGAGGTAGGACAGGGTAAATTTCCCCAAGTGACAGGGAGACCAAGCCCTGTACCAAGAGAAGAAGAGGGCCCTTTGGCAAAGAGTGCAAAAAGAATTCAACACACACGCCAAAGTTCAAGTCAAAAGGAAAGTTTATTAGAAAAGGGGTAACACTCCACAGACAGAGTGTGGTCTCAGATACAGAGCGAAAGAGACCAAGAGAGGCTTGGGAAGATAGTGACTAGAATGGAGGGTGAGTGTTCAGGGAATTTAATTTATATATCATTCTTTAGTTCCTGTGAGTTATTGTTTAAAAGACTTTGTTAACCCATTTCCTTTGATATGGACATACAGTGAGGAAGGGAAAGGGTATGTAGCATGAAAAGGTAAGAATATGTAGAGTGAAAGGCCTGCGGGCAGTTCCTAGCCTTTAATTGTAGGTTCCCCAGAGTTTAGCTGTAGGGCATGACATTGCTGGTCCCTGTCCCTTCAAAGGTGTTGAGAATGGGTTGTTAGTAATTCTGCAAAACTCTTCCTTTGTTCTGAAGGTATCCTTCTGGCCCGGCTGCAGGGCTGATCAGCATATTGTAGTCTCTGATTGTGGCTTGATTAACATTTTAATTCTCTTGCCTCCTCCCTGCATTACCCCAATCTCCTGGGGGCTGCTCTGGGATTGGCATTCAGGACGAGCCAGGTGGCCTGCATCCTGGGCTTTCAAAGCCCTCTCTAGGAGGAGGCCAGACCTTGACAGTTGTTGGAGGTCTGAGGCTTTGAGGAGTGTGAGAGACCAAGAGGATAGGCTAGGAAGGCAGGTGCAGGACTTAGCCTTAGAGATCTCAGAGGCAGCTTGAGGCCTGGCAGATGGGGGTGGTGGGCAGAGATTGGATATAGTGTGTCACACAGACCTCTGGGCAGCCTCTGTGTGTGTGTGTGTGTGTGTGTGTGTGTGCTGTGCATGTGTATGTGCCCAGGCATACATGCGCACACATGCTTGTGCTCGAAGAGGAGCATCAAAGGGAGGAGCTGGTCAGGAGAGACTTCCTAGAGGCAGGGACAGTAGCACACAGGTTCCACAAGTGAAATGTGTGCCCTGAAGGGCATTCAGAGGACAGTGGAAGGTAGGGGTGGCTCAGGAGCTTGCATGCTCTCCATCAACGTCCTATGCTTTTCTACTACTCACCTCTGCTCACAGCAACAGCCCCTGGGAACCAGACCATGCATTTACCTTAGTTATAACCTCACAGAAAGAAAGCACACACCCCTCCAGTGCCTGGGGTTGTGTTGGGCCAGCTTGTGTGGGGTTACATTTCCCAGAGCTTGGGACCCAGGACTGATGAACTGTGCCTTTGAACCAAACCCAGTTCCATTCTGATATGGCTGTCCTCCCTAATGTAGGGTTCAGTCTGAGCCCCAGGACAGCAGGTGCCTCCAGCAGCTCCCCCAGGCCCTGCAGGCCAGGGCTCTAGGGACAGGGAGGGAGGGTCTCAGTCTTGCAGATGACCGTATGAAAGCAGGTCCTGGAGAGGCCCCCTGGGCTTTGAGACTGCACCGGGAGACCTTCGCTCCCTCAGGGGCCTGAGGGTCCTAGAAATCAGTCTCTCACGTGCCCAGCTGGGGGCACAGAATGAGGGCTGGGAACAGAAAGTGAGCTGGCCTCCTTCTCCAATTCTGTATAGAATCAGTAGCCCCTCTAGCTCTTCAGTTTCTAGAATAACATCAAGGCTCAGAGGAGTCAGCTGTGCCAGGAAAAGCCATTATTACCCTGACAGCCTCCCTCCACCTGCTAAAAGCTCCCTCCTTCCCTTGGGGCCTTACCCCTATGGAGTTATTTCATCTCCACTCACCTAGCCTTGGCTGACCTCTCTGGTGAGTGTTTGAGGGAAGGGAGGAGAAATGCTTGCTTAACTCTTTCTATGCCTGAGCAAAGTCAACACCGGTAGTAGGCTTCCTTGGCCTTGCTCATGGTCCTTCAAGTCTCTTTCCAACTAGAATTCCTCCTGCCAGACACCAGGAGCTTGTGTAGAGAAGGGGAATGGACAAGAAGCCAAGACATCAGGAGGGTGAAAGACAGGCTAACAAGTGTGAGTCACGGGTTCCAACCTGAATTCTGTCACTGCACTCCTTGTGACTCATCCTTGGTTCTGTCTCCTCGGTGTACTGGGAAGCCCCTAAAGGATACAAAATACTATGCGTGGTGCAGGAGCAGGTTTGATGTTTGGGACATAGAAGGACATTTCCTTCTTGAACACCTTCCTGGGACACCCTCTCCCTTAATGCTTCCATAAAAGAGTAGGAATAGACACCCTGTGGGGAACGCACAGAGCAAATGGAATGAGAGCGGGTGAGAGGCTGCTGAGAGCTCTGAGGCCTCTGACTTTGAGGGTAGCTGTTGGGAGGGAGAACCCAGGGTGCAGAGCAGCAGGAAGAGGGGTACGGATTGCACCCTTCAGTCAGTAGAGGTCATAGAGCCAAGGGAGGGACCTGAGGGGCTTGTAGGCTGACCTACGTGGCCCACCAACCTTGATGCATTTTCCTCTCCAGCTTGGCAGCCCCCATTCCAGAGTGGGGCGTTGATGCATCTGCATGGGCCCTGAGTCTGAGGGGAGCTCCAGCTCTCTGGGAGACCCACCCCTTCTCTTCTGAGTCCTCCCTCAGCACTTCTCTTTCTCCCCTTCATGCTGCCCTCAGTCAGACCCCTTTGAGAAATATCCAGATTGTTTTATATCACAAATGAGGGAATGACATGAACTGGGTCTTCTGTGTGCAGAAGCTTAATATGCTTTCTTGCCAGTCCTATAACCACCCTCAGGGCGGTGGGGGGCACTACTTATAGAGGAGGCAACTGAAGCTCAGGGAGGGGAGGTGACCTAGCTAGGTGATAACTGTGGGCTCAAGAGCCCACAGTCCTGAGTGGCTCTGAAGCTTGTATTCTTTCTAAGACTTCACACCTTTGTCACAAAGTGAGGGAGCCAGAGACCCCCACTTATAGACTCGGAGTGGGGTCACAATGGGGAAATGCCAGGCAGAGGTCAATTAAAATCATTATTATTGTTATTATTATTAACACTTTCATGGTACTTAACAATGTGGCAGGTACTTCATACAAGTTATTTCACTTCATGCCCACAACACCCTGCATTATCATCCCCACTTCACAGATATAGGCACAGCAAGGTTATATACTTTGCCCAAAGTCACACAGCTAGTGAGGTATAGAGCTGGAATTTAGAATCCGGATGGTCTGAATGAGGGAACCTGTTGCCACATCGCCTCTCAGTCAAAGCAGAATGGGGATGCCTCAGTTGACCCCTGGAGTTTGGACACGGACTCCCACAAGAATGGTTATCCACAAGAGTAGAGCTATGATAAGTGTGGAACAAGGAGCAAGGCCACTATGTTACTCAAGCCCAGAGGACTAAGGGAGCAGCAGGACCAGGAGTTCCAGAGGGCTTCCTGGAGTGGAGGAACAAGCTGGGCTCTGAAGGACCACAGGCTGGTGTTGCTAACAGATGGGGCGGATTGGCTCTGAGCTTCTGGGCCAATTCGCCTGCCCCGCACTCCCTTTGGGAACTTCTGGGGGTGGGGCCAAAGCTGGTAAGGACACCATCTCTGCTTCTTGCCCTGGGGTATAGTTTGTGCACCGTGTGTGTAGTGAACTCCCCTCGCTACAGGCTCTCCAGTGATCCTTTCCTCATGATTGTTGCAGTTAATGTCTCAGCTCCCTTTATAGCCCCAACATAAAAACCTCCTCAACAGAAATATTAACTCTCTCACTGAGCTGTTTGATGCCCCAAGATCTCAGGGACACTTATTCCAGAGACCTGTGGGATGCAGAGGGCCTAAGCTCCCCGCTCACCTTGGACAACTTGGCACTCCACTACCTGTGAGTGCTTGAGGGCCGGAAACCCCCTACCCGACCCTGCCCAGTGCCCAGCTCCAGGTGCCCAACCCAGGGCCCTGCACACAGTGGGTACTACAGAAGGCAGTAGCATACGTGTGTTCCCCTGAAAGGATTAAGAGCTGGGGGAGCTGGGCCAAGCCTTGGGAATCTAGGCCAGAAGCTTAGGGAAGTGAAGGGCAATGGGGAGGCCAGCTAGGAGGCACTACACAGCCACCCTGCCTAGAGACTTCCTCCCATGGAACAGAACCTAGAGAAGAGGGTCATGACGATGGAGTCTGTTCACAGGCGTCTGCTGAGGAGCCCTGTGCTGGCAGGGGCAGGAAGTCAGGCAGGCAAGGTGTCTCCCCTATTCCCACCCCTACCCCAAGCTCTGGTGCCTGAGTCCATGTGAAGGCCTTAGCAGTGACCAGCTAGACAGTGTCATCAGCCAAGCAGGCAGGACAGCCAAAGAGAGACTTGGTGTCCCTAGCCTGGGATGACATGAGCGTCTGCCTGGGAGGGAGCACTTTGTGCTCTGTCCACTCTTTGCTCAGATTTATGGATGGTGGAGTCCGGGAGGGGTGAGCAGTGGGCAGGACACCCTCCTTCTGACTCAGCCTGCCCCTCCTCTCCCCAGGAAAACCACATCTGAGGAAATGAAGAACCAGAACTCCAAGGCAGTCACATCTGTGCCTGCAGAGCCCACCAAAGCCCCCATCTGGGGAGACACAGTCAAAGTGGAGATCCAAGCTGAGGATGCAGGGCGAGAAGGTGAGGCAGGGACAGGATGGGCCTGGAGTGTGTGGGAGGGGGTATAAGGCAGAAATAGGGTCCCTCTCAGCTCAACTGGAAGCCACCTGAACACCTCCTTGGGCTCAGTTAAAAGCACTTTAAAGAAAAAAAGTCATAATACCGTCATGCCTCATCTCCCCAGCCTACTCGAAAAATGAGTTGTTCTACATAAATGAATTTTCCAGACAATGAAAGCTTATCTTCTTTATGACTGTTGTTATTATTTTCCACGTCTCTCACTGAAACTGCACATTACAGCTTCCTGGCATGTCACCACAAACTGCTCAGAGGAGTCACACCGCCCAGGAGAAGCATTGCTGCTCCCATTGCTTAGATGAGAATGTTGATGTTCAGGACACTTAAGTGACTGGCTCAAGCTCAAGTAATAAGTGGAAGATGGAGGACTCAGTGTTATAGGCTTTTACTGTGAGTCCAGTGTTCTAGTGGTTTTCCTAGAATGGCTTCTTATCTTGCCTCATCCTCCCTGGTACTGCCCACTGCCACACAGTAGTGTCCCTGTACTTCCAAGGATTGGGGTCCACTCTCATAGAAACTCTCTAACAGTTCTCACTCCTCAGAAGGCTTTCCAGTTCTCATGTCTTGGCAAATTCTAATACTGCAGGTAATTTAAAGTATCAGTATACATGCACGCATATGTGTACACACTTGTGTTTTCCACATTGGGGGCCTATCTGATACCCACTCTTGGATGAGAACTCAGGCTGGACACACAGGAGTACTGACTGGCTGATGCCAGAACTGCTGTGGGTGCTGGCATTGGGCACTGTCAGCACAGAGCCACAGGTACACACGATGTCTCTGGTCTTTTGAAGTTAGAAGAACCTCAGACTCCTATCTTGCAGGTGGTCCTTCCCCCAAGAGGACAGGTTTACTTCTCCTCTCGGAACCTCATCAGGGACTTAAGCAGAACTCCTTGTCAGCCTTACAAATTGCAGAAAGCCAGCTGCTAAAGACAGTGGAAGGGGAGAGAGGAAAAAGATGGGGAGGGACATCAATAAAAGAGAAAGAGTTTAGTTCTGGGTCAAGCCAGAGGATTTTTTTCTGCCATAAAGGGATAGGAGGTGCTGTTGTGATGATATGAGAAAATGTGAAAAAGGAGGAAAAATTGATCTAGGATCTCATACAAATGCACGTGTGTGCCTGTGTGTGCCTGTCTTTGTGAATGTCTGCATGCTGGCTCATGTGTGTGTGAACATTGTGTGCAAGTATGTGCTTGTGACTGTGCCTCTAGGCACACACGTCTGTGTGTCTCATATGTGTGTGTGCATGCACCTGTGTGGCTGATGGAAAGTTCAGGGTTGTGGTGAGTGAACCTCGGCCGGGACCCTATCCTGGGCTTCACACATCTGAGGTAACATAGGAAGGGATGTGATGAGTCAGTGGTCTAGGGCCCATCTGTGCAGCAGAGAGAGGAGCAGGACTCACTATAGGAGGGACAGGAGGTAGGGAGCCTCCTGGGCAAGCAGGAAATATTGGCAGGTGCCTCTCTGCAGATTGAAGTAGCTGGATGCTTGTTAGAACCTGGTTGGAACCGGTTGCTGTGGTGACGTCTGCAGTGGGGAGTGGGGTGAGGGGTGGGGGCCAAGCCAAGAGGTGGGGGAAGGGCAGGAGGTAGCTCAATGATGTGTTAATGAAAAGCAAAGGGGAGTTGCAGACCCTGTGTCAGGGCCAAAGCAGACAGGCAGGCGGCAGAAATGGCTTGCTGGCCACACAAAGGAAGCGGTGGGAGGCCGAGGGGCACAGTGCCCAGAGAAGAAGTTGACGAAGCATGGTTGTAGCATGGAGACAGGAACAGGGAGGGATAGCTGTCCGTTCTCTTCAGTTACAGCCCATCTACTGGCTGCCCACACTGAGATCCAGAGATCTGTGGGGGGGCGTGGGGGGCAGGGAGAGGGAGGAAGGCAGAGTACTCACCCCTATTTGACCTCAGCAAATCCAACTGGATTTGGGGACTCAGGGCCCATGAGGGGTTGTAGCCTCCACAGCTACTATTGTAGCTTTGGCTCGGAGCACCGGAATCCCCTAGATGAGTATACCTCAGGTATACTCCCTCAAGTATACCTGTCCACCTTAATTTCTTCTTTCCTATTCTTCTCTATATCTCTTTTTTATCTCCTTCCCTCCTCCATCTTCCTCATTCCTCCTCCATCCTCCACTTTTTTCCTCCTTTTCTCCCTCCCCATCTCCTCTTCCTCTCCAAATCATAGACTTCCAGAGTGGGAAGATACCTCAAGTGTCAACAAATCCAGCCTCTCCCATCAACCTTTTACTAGTTGTGTGATGTAGAGCAAGTTATACAACCCCTATAAGCCCCAATGTCCACATTTTAAAAACAGAGATGTTGATTCCTACTTAAGGGATTATGATGGGGATTTGTTGGAATAATGGCTCAGGAGCACCTATGTCCATGCCTGGCACCTAGTAGGTGCTCACTAAGTAATGCTGCCATGATTATTTCCAGGTCACTGGTGTTCTCCTTGTAGTTCATCACAAAGTTACATTTATGACAAAATGTAATCTTTTTGGAGGGAGTTTTCTAAGTGATGCATTATTCTTACTGTTTAGACTAGTTTGCATTTACTTGGAGATATTCGTGTTGAAAGATTTCTCGAGTTGATTTCTTTTCCTTACGGAGCCTCAGTTTTCCCATCTGCAATATGTGAGAGAGAATCCCTGCCTGAGCCTATGAAAGTGTTTGTGACTAAGGGAAGGAAACTTATTCCTGGAAAGGGGTACTATTCCTGCTCGCTTGTGTGTCTCCGTGTGTGCATATGTGTGTCTGTGGCCATGTGCTGGGTCTGGGGTTGGTTCTGCATGTGTCCATCCTTAGGCTGGGAGTTTCTAGACCACTGGAGAGAATTGCATCTTTGGGTCCTAGCAGCTCCCGGCACAGAGCCTTGTCCTGCGCAGGGACTCAGACAGAGCTTATGAAGTGTGCCTGTGTGTGTTTCACACATGTGTATGCATGTGTATTCCTCAGTGTGGCCCCTGCTCCCCTACTCTCAGCAATGTTTCTTACCTCAGTGGGAGGAATGATGGTCAGCGAAGCCTGGTGCTGACCCTGTACTCAATTTTTCTCTATCCAGATGTGGTCCTCAAGGTGGTGGACAACAAAAAGAAAGAGGAGCTGTTGTCCTACCAAATTCCCATCAAGTACCTGCGTGTCTTCCACCCCTACCACTTGGAGCTGGTGAAGGTGAGTTCTAGCCCTGGGCTCTGGGCTCACACAGGCCTGGGACTGGCAGGGGGAGAGCTCCCAGCTATTCCCTCAGAGTAGCCCTGGGCGTCCATGCCCACCTTGCAATATGACAAGTCTAGGACCATGTGGGGCTCAGGAAACACAGCTCCTGGCAGGTAGACAGAAATGATTTCCAAGAGAATTTGGAATTCTCCAAATTCATCTTCATGAAACAACTGGCATAGAACATCTACCACATTAAATAAATACATCAACTAAAGATGTATTCTGATTTTATATATGTTGAAAGAGTGAGACCATATCTAAAAATCAAAGCAACACAGTATTTACGGAGTACCTGCTATGTTCTAGGTCCTAGACTAGAAACTATACATACTATTTGTAATCCTCAAGGCAAATTATACTTTGCATGCACAGGACTGAGACTCGGGAAGGGAATCCTCTCATTCTGGGTCACAGAATAAGTGAGGAGCAGAGTCGAGAGTGAGCCCAGATCATACTACCTCCCAAGCCAGTTCTCTCTGTGATGCCTCCACATGCTGCCTTGGCAGGGGGAAGCCCCAGGAAGGTTCGGGTATTTGAGAGTGTTCCCTGGAATGCATCTGCCTAGTGGGCCTCGGGCTTCTCAGTCCATGGTCTGAACCTTCCAGTTCAGCTCCCTTGCCTGTTCCCTCTCCCCAGTGTTGATTGGTGGAAAGGAGAATTCACTCTCTCATTGCTCAAGTAATATTAAGCACCTACTATGTGCCAGGCACTAGGCCAGAGATGAGCAGAAGCATCATTTCCCTCTCCCGCAGTTTGAACTCCAGACTCCTACAGCGGTTTAGAGTAAAGGACAATGTGAAGTTGGATTGTCTGGATTCTTATCCCAGGACTGCTGATTGCTAGCTATATATCCATAGGAAGCTTCTTAACCCCCTAGGCCTTCACTACTCATCAGCAAAATCAAGGCAATATACCTCCTAGTATAGCCATTTGGAAGATCAAGTGCAATGATGGGCATGAAGCACCTAGCAAGGTGCTCAGCATATAGTTGGCACTCAGTTCAGGCTAGTTCCCCTCCTCCTTTCCCCGGGCCTTGGTACTGACCTCTTTTCCAAGTGATTCCCTAACCACAGCCTCAGGGGTCTGTACCTTCCCTAGACCCCAAGGATGAGGCACCAGGGGTTAGGAAGGGAAACAAAGCCCATAGAGATTAGTGATTCATTTGGGAGCCTGAGCACTTCAGCTGTAAGAGCATCACCAAGGCTTCCTGGCTCTGTCCAGGCCTTGTTATCACATCTTTACAAAGAGAGCAGGCAGGCAGTAGTCCTTGTGAGGGCGATGAAATATTCAAATAGAAAAGGGAAGATTTATTATATTGATCTCCTTGGAAGGGCTCACAGGGACCATGAGCTTTAATTATCAGCTCTGCGCCCCGGTGGAGCAATGCCAGTGATCGTCTGCGGAGGGCTGGATTTATGGCCAGGGTCTGCCCCTTAGTCACGTTCTTTCTTGTGTGTCTTCTTCCTCCACCCTGTTCCCAGCCCAACCAGTCTGAGAAAGCTAATGAAGCCACAGCCAAGACCAAATTGTATGCGACAGTTGTCCGGAAGGGCAGCTTCATCCCTTGCTACAATGGCTGCAACTACACAGCTCTAGAGGTGCCGGATTGGGGCATTCTGGGATGGGGTGGGATGAGAAAGGGCCAAGCTTTGACAGGCCCCAGGCTCTGCCCTTGATCACCTCTGGCTAGCTGGACAATATGGGGCAGGGGTGTCTTGGGAAGAAATCCAGAAAAGAAATGCAACTGGGCCTTTCAAAATAGCCAAAGTGGTTTGTGTAGAACAGCTCTGGATGGCAAAGATGATGGGGATGAAGAAGATAAATGACACCTAACATTGTCCAGCACTTCCCATGTGTACAGCCCTGCTCTAACCTTGCCTTCCTTTGCTCTGCTCCTCACATACCATGCAGGGAATGCTGCAGGGAGAACAGGAGGCTCCCAAAGCCCTGTGTCTGTCTAATCCCAAGAAAGCAGAAAAAGATCCCCCACTTCAGCCCACATTTTCTAGCTGTTTCTCTCCTATTCTTTCCCTCCTGGAATAGTGACCCCTGACCTAGAGCCTACAACTCTCAAGTGAAAATTTTAGGGCCACCCTACCCTTCTTTGAGTCCTCTTTCTGAAGAGGTTTGGCTGGTCTTCAATTAAGTATTCATTCATTCATTCATTCATTTATTCATTCAACAACTATTTACAGAGCCTCTTCCACTAGCCAGGCCAGGGCCAGGCCCTGCTTCCCAGTATACCAGCGCCATTTCTACCCCTAGGCCTTTCACAGCCTCAAGAGGACTGGTGATACTCCAGGGAGATGTGGTCCAGGGACCTAACCCATCTCCCTTTTTCCTCAGTCTTCAAACTGCCCAGGATTGACAGATTCAAATCCAACCTGCCCTGAGTATGATCAGGGTGGAGCCAGGGACCCCAAACTCCAGCTCCCCCTGCCCCAACAAGGCTGGTCTGATTCACCCCATAGCACTGTGAGCTGGCAGGGCAAGAAGTGTTCTTCAGTCCCATTTCACAGCTGGAAACACCAATACCCAAGGGGAGTCTGGTATAGAAGCCCAGACTCCTGACCCACACGTCTGCTTCCCCACAGCCACTCCTTGGATGTCAGCATGTGTCAGACCTGTGGGTGCCCTTTGCTTTCATTTCTCCCCCTTCTATCATTCTCTTTCCTGAGGATGGCTAGCAGTGGGATCCTCACACACATGAAACACCTTGGCCTGCAGGGGGCCCTCTGTGGGTCTGCTCCACGTCCGCACTGTAGAGTCTGGGCCCCTGTGCCTTCCAGAACCCCACTCTCCCCCTGGCCCAGCACAGATGTCTTCCCTGTCTGCTCCTGATGACAGACCAGATTGCACAGTGGGAGAAGAAATTGCTCCTATTTCTCACTGGGCTGTCGTGAACAAGTGTGCTTGGGCAGCTGTCTCATTCACGCCTGACCATTCAGCACAGAACAGTTGTAAATTAGTTCCCACCCCCAACTCTCAGACACCCATCTCAGCCCTACACCTGTTGGAGTCTCTATGAGCAACAGAGCCTGACAGCAGCCCAGTGAAATCCTCAGGCCCAGATGCCCACCCCCATCCAAAGTTTGAAATACCATTTTCAGAGATTCCACACTTTGAATTCGAGTTTAGTCTCCAGACGCCCCGGTGACAGCTGAAAGGCCCTAAGCACTATATTAAGCTCTTATTGGCTCACACCTGTGTGGAGTTAGCTGGCAGCCAACTGAGATGGGCCCTGGCCTAGGGGCTTAGGATAGGGTGCTTGGGGGTGAGAGGGTCAGAGAAGAAAAGGGAGAGGGATCCAGAAGAAGCTGTACTCCTAGGCCCTCTCCTCCCATCGAAGGTTAGAGCTAGAAGGACCAGGGAGAGTATGGTCAACTCCTGAGTGTACAAGTTAGGAAACTGAGGCCAGAGTGGAGCAGGGACTGGCCACGGTGACCCAGCTGGAGTGAGTGGCTGAGCTGGAGTGGATCTGTCGGGGGCCTCTTCCTACCCCAAGGTATGCCTGAGGTATGGCCCCTGAAGCTGTCACCAGAGCCCCTCCTTCACCGGGCATTCTTCCCATGAACACCTGTAATTACGATCCCCTCTCAGCCTCTAAGACCAGCTCAAACCCAGGCCCTCCCTGAGAACACTGCCAGTCTCCTCCTTCCTTCCAGGTTTCTATGGTTCTCTCTCATTCTCATAAACACAGTCAGCCTCTCTTCCCCTCTCCTTCATTAATAGCACTCATTTATCCCACATACACAGGGGGCTCCTACTCTGGGCCAGTTGCTTTTGCTAAAAGTTGAAAATACAGCAGTGAATGAGATAGATATAGTCCCTGCCCCTATAGAGCCTAGATTCTAGTCAAATGGATAGAAAATAAACAAGAAAGAAATTAGAATAAACACAAGCTATGATGAGTGCTATGGAAGAGGCCATCTAAGGGCTAAGAGAATGAGGTGGCTACTTCAGTAAGAGGGCTCACAAAAGAGTGGTGACATTTAAACTCTACAGGAAGAGAAAGAGCCAGCCACTGAGTTGGTGGGAGTGGGGAGTCTAGGCAGATGGATCTGTATGTGCAAAGGTCCTGGGACAGAAACAAGTAGTTCACATTGAAGGGTGACACAAAAGAGGCTGGAGCAAAAAGAGGACTTGGGGTCTGACAGGAGATAGGGGCTGATGGGCAGGCAAGCCAGCACGTGCAGGCCTTGGCTACTATAGTAAGAATTATGGAATTCATTCTAAGGGCTGTGGGGGTGGGTTGCATTCATTGCTGGATCTCAAGCAGGGGAATGGCATGATCCAATTCATTTTTAGAAGGCAGTTTTTGCCACCATGTATCAAATTGCCTGGGAAAGAGGATAGGTTGGGGGTAAGTAGAAGCAGAGGCCAGTGAGGAGTCAGAGAAGAAAAGGAGCCACGGGAATCTCAGTTAGGGGGAGTTGAGTGAGTGTTAAGGTGAGAATGGGAACCCATTGATAAAGGCATAAGAGTCCAGAGCCAGATCAAGAGCTGCTTGGGATGGCAGTGGAGGTACACAAGACAGAATCTGCGTCTTTTCCCACTGCCTGCCCAATGCCTGGCACAACATTGAAGGAGGGCAACCTTGAGCGGAGAAAGACCCTAGTGAGGCAGGAGCAGGTGGGAGCAGGTGCAGAGGTGTGGAGGTAGGAATGAGCCCACCGTTGCAAAGAAAATGGCAGGAAGACTGGCTAACCATGTCCCCAAGAGGGCCCAAAGCCACCCAGGGCTCACCTGCCTTCTCTCTTCCCCAGGTCTTTCTCCAGGGAGTCAATGAGCCCCTAGTCAACAACCCCAGCCCCTTGGTGGTCATTGCCCGTGTGGTTCCCAACTACAAGGAGTTTAAGTAAGTGGGGCCCAGGCGGTGTGGGCAAAGAGAGAAGGGAAGGCAGAGGACAGAGAAGGGAGAGGCTAGGAACCTGCCCTCTCCACAAGGCCCTTCAAGCCTCCCCACTCGGACTGAGGTCCCAGAAAGCTGCCCATAGCCCCTAAAAAGGGGCAGCTCTGACCCCTCCCAAGAGCAGGCTTGGGGAACCAGCATGTGAAGAAAGAAAGATGGTTCTCAACCCCTCCAAATCTGCCTCCATGTCTCATGCCCATCACATGTTGATGTTTAACCTTTCCGTGTGTGACTCTTTACCAGACCGAGAGCTCCCTGTAGGCGAACCAGGACCCAGACTCCTTGGGGTTACCCATCACTCCTACTTGAGTTCAGGGCCAAGGTGGTTCACTAGCTGGTGGTTGTCCCCAAAAGAGGCAACCTAAAGGTCAACTCAGAACTTTATGACCTTTAGCCCTGCCTAGGGGTTCCCTCTCAAACCCTCCTGGAAGTCTCCTTGGCTCCGGCCCCAGCTCATTCCTCTCCATACACCCCAGACCTCTTCTTGGGTTTGGTGGATTCACAGTTCTCAGGAGGAGATTCAAGATAATTCGGACACTGGAGTCTGCACAGTTTGGGGGGTTCCCCAGTGAACAAGTCCCCTCTGTGACAACACCATCTCCTGAGGTCAGGTGTCTGCCTGTCATTTCCACTGACTCTGATTGCTCAAGAAGACTCCCTGATTCATCTGCACCAGCTGTTGAATTCTGATGACCTGTGACCTCTCCTTTCTGGTTGGAGGAATGAAGACTACTGATGCTCTCACTCCTAGCTCATAGTGGATCATTCCGGCAAGGTCTTCTAAAGGTCAGGCAGGGAAGCAAGGCCCATTTTAAAGATGGGCCAGCTGAAGCACTTAGATGTGGCCAAGGCCAGAGTGAGTCATGGGAAAGGGAATCTGGGAGCCACAGTTTCCCTGACCAAGATGAGTTTTCCCAAAGTTCTGGCTAGCACTCTGAAGGACCAAGGTCCATTACCTGTCCAGGTGTCCAGGTCTGAACTAGGTAGGACCACTGCACTCTCCTCTCTAACATCAATCCAGAGTCCATTTGGGAGCTCTTGGCTGCCAGGCTTGGGCACAGAACCAAGAGTGCTGGACTCCCAGAGCACTCATGTCCTGACCGCTGTCTCCTTGCCTCCCCAGGACGAACCAGGACCCAGACTCCTTGGGGTTACCCATCACCCCACTCTCCTTCCCTATCCCATCCATGATGAACTTTGATGTTCCTCGAGTCAGCCAGAATGGGTGCCCTCAGGTATGGTTTCTTCCCTCCTTCATTTTCTCACTGGTTGAGACTTCTAGTAACTCACCCACTCGTTTCTTCAGTCACTCAGTCAGTCAGCTGTTCACTTTACTATTGAGTGAAAGTTCACTGGATCCCGCCATCATGCACCCAGGGCTGTGCCATCTGTGCTGTGCAGAAGCCGCCCACAGGGAGCTCTCGGTCTGGTAAAGAGTCACACATGGAAAGGTTAAACATCAACACAACATAATGTATGATCTAATAAACAACCAGGAGGGACTGTCAGAGCTGTAAAAGTCAGAGGAGAGAAGACAAAGGACAAATATTGTTTGGTTCCACTTGCATGCAGTACCTAGAATAGGCAAATTCAGAAAGACAGAAAGTAGAATGGTGGTTTTCAGGGACCGGGGGGAGGGGAGAATGGGGAGCTATTATTTAATAGGTACGGAATTTCCGTTTGGGATTTTGAAATAGATAGTGATGATGGTTACACAATATTGTGAATGTACTTCATGCCACCAAACTGTACACTTAAAAATTATTAAAATGGTAAATTTTATGTTATATGTATTTTACCACACATGCACAAAATTTTTTTAATCAGAAGTGAGAGGGATGTGAGGCCTGGGTAATTAGGGCGGGCATCCAGACACAGAACTCTTGAATTTTCAGTAAGGGAGGGTTGGTGCAGGGCAATTGAGAACAAGAGCACAGGTGTGAAGATGGGGATGCAAGTTAGGGTTGGAGAGGAGACCAGTGTGTCTGAATATGTTGGAGAGGGGTGTGCAGATCATTGCTGGGTCCAGGCCACTGGCCAGATTTATCATTTCCCATAGTCTGCGTTCAAAGGGAGCTTATCCCATAGCATGGTCCTAGCATTCCTAGAATCCTTAAAGAAGACAGGGGTGTCTGGGATGTCCTTTCTGTTGTCTGCTCACCAATGTTCATGTCTGGTGTGGTGAATATAGAATGAGGTACCTCTTAGGAGCCTCAACCTTCATTTAAAGTCAAAGACATTTGAAGAAGGCTCAGACACAGACAAGACTGATGGTGGTGGGGAGGAGTGGGACGAATGGGGACCCTGGGGACAGAGGCTTCAAACCCAAACCAATCTTGGCCTGATTTCCCTAGCGTCATCTCACACATGGCCCTGCATTTGCCCAGAAAATTATGAACCAATCAGCAGGCAGTCCCAAGGGGCAGGATGCACTGGCTATTTTAATGAGTAAGCCCCTCCCCACCCCCAGACCCCTCTGGCTGCCTTTGCTGCCTAACTAGTCTGGGTTGGGAAGGTACCCCTTGCTATAGAGACTTGCCCTCAGTCCCTCTTGCATGTATGAATCTCAAAGACAGAGGTCCAGCATGGCAGGACATTAGTTGAAGGTCACTAGACACCATGGCAATTTGGTCAGGTTTAGAGCTCCCTGGCAGCCAACACAGAGGGGCCCAGGTGCCAGCAGTGAGAGAACAGGAGCAGACTTCTGTGGTACAAGGTGGGGAGAGGGATGAGTGGGCAGAATCCTACCTGGAAGGGGTACCAGTCAGCAGTACTGGGCTCAGAGTTCACAAAGACCCTACCCTATCCCTTCTCTGAGCTTCAGTTCCCTCATCTCTACAGTTGGGGCATGGGGGGTGGACTAGGTAATTCTGAGACTTGCTTCTCTGACATCTTGGGGTGCTATGATTTCCCACCAGCTACCCACCATGCCAAAGCACTGTGGACAGGGGTTTGAGACTGGTAGACCTGGGTGTGACTCCAGCTCTGAGACTTACTGTGTGACCTTTGGCAAGCTGCTCAATTTCTCCGGACCTACTGACTCCTACCTTACTGGGGTGTTAGGAAAGCATAAAGGGCTAACCTGTGCAAAGCACCCGAGCCCAGGGTGAAAACTAAATGAGTTCTGTCCCTTTCAGAGCTTCCCTTCCCCTGGTGCCAAATGGCCCCTCTAAAGCCAGCCTATCCATTGCCCTTGGCACTTTTGGCTATAAGTAACAGAAACCCCAACTCACATGGACTTATTATCAAACATTGTAAGGATCTGCCAAGTAGCATGCTGCCATAATTGTTTGATGCGCTGGCTCAGCAATGTCCTCAAGGACTCGGGATCCTTCTAACACCCCTGAGTGCTATATCTTCAGTTGGCAAACAGCTCATGGGAGCAAAATGTTCCTGATGCCCCACCCAATATGACCAAACCAGAAGAAGAACAACCATCCTCTTCTCACCTGTGGTCCTTATGAGGAACTTCCCCAGCATCCCCTAGCAGACTTCTCCTCTCATCTCATTGGCCAAAATTGTATCACATGCATTTCTCTCAGCCAATCACATAGGAAGGGTGTGGCACTATCTTGCAGTAACTAATGTAGGCAGGTATAGAGAAGGGGGCCACCTGGACCAAAGCAGGTTCTGTTGGCGGAATGGTTAAGGGGTAGGTGGCCCTCAGTGTTTGCTCACCCCTCTCGGAGCCTGGTGATGATGGCAAAACCTGAGCTCTGATGAATTAAGAGATGGGTAGGCTTGACCTGGCCCAGCCTACTGGACCCAGCACAGAGTGAAATGGAACTTAATCCTACCCTGGACACTGACCTTTGGTGGTGGTGTGGGGGTTGGGGGGACATTGCCCAACAGGTTACTCTTGTTAGCCTGGCCTCCTACAGAGCTGAGGCAGAGCTTCTGGCCAATGCAACACAGGCAGTGGTGAGAAAAGGTATCTGTGCCCAGTGTCATCTCCTCCTGTCTCAGCCCCCACAGCCAGTCTGTACTCAAGCTCTCGTGGGGCCTCTTTCCATCCCACAGACCCTGCCCTGGTGCTGTTCTCATTTTGATTCCTAGACCATTGCCATGGCCTCTACTTGGTCCCCTCCCATCCATCCTGTGAGAAGCAGCCACAGTGACCCCTCTGCCCGGGGCAAGGCCCTTCTCCTGGACTCCTTGTTTCTGTCACTGACAGGACAAACCCTCACAGTCAGCCAGATACATAGACCTCATTCCCTCCAGCTTTCTGGTTCACTGCTCCATTTCTCACAGGCATTCTCTAGCCCCACTGGATGACTGGCTGTTCTCCACACCTATGCTGTCCACTCTCACCTCCCAGTCTTCACCTCTGCTGTACTCTCAGCCTGGGATGGCCTTTCCCCTCCTTACCTACTACGCAGTCTCAGGTCCTCCCGTCTCCAGGTCACAAGTCATGGCTTTCTCCTCTGACATCCTAGCTCCCACAACCTATAACTTGCTTAGGCCTCTGTATGGATCATATGGGTATGGGTGGGTGTGAGTGTGTGTGTGTGAGTGTGTGTGTGTGTGTGTGTGTGTGTGTGTGTGTGTGTGTGTATCCTATCCCCTTGGAAATTGATGAGCTGCAGAGGGAAGCAGGCTCTGGGTCTAGCTTTCTCGTATGCACTGCAGCACCCCAGAGGCATCTTGCATGGAGAAGCCCTCAGTCAACATTCACTGAATTCAGTTGAATTGAACTTTCACTTTCACAGCAAAATATCTATTATCTCCTTCAACTTTCACAACAGCCTTTCAACGCATGGAACATAAGACATTGGATGGTGACAAAACAAGGTTCTAGAGAGGGTAAGGGACTTGCCAAAGGTCACATAGCAGGGTTGAGGCAGATCTGGCCTGAGCCAAGGCATCCTAGCTCCCTTGAGGCCCCACCCAGCATCAGCTGTTGACAGCTACTCTTCCCAGGATGGCTGCCACATGTCTGGGCAGAGCAGGCAGTGGTGGGGTGTGGGTGTAGGTGTGACAGGCTCAGGAAAATGGAAGGAGAGACCATGGCCATGTAATGAAGACTCTGTCCCCAGAGAAGGCTTTGCTGAAGATCACAGTGAGAGGTTATTCTTATTCCTTAATTCCACAACCTGATGGCCTTTCTCATTAGCATGTGTGGGCAATGGCTTTCCCCTCACCCCTCACCCCCATCCCTCTTCACACATGCCACCAGCACCTTCACTGGGACCCTGACATCAGACTCTGAAGGTGATTTAACCTTGGTTCCTTCCTTGAGGCCTTGCTCCCCTCCCCCTGCCCACCACACACACAAGAGGGGCTCCCTCCCCAATTCTAGGTCTGAAGGGATCTTTTCTGGGGACTCATCCTGGCAAACTATTCAGGGAAGGAGATATCTGTACTGGGCGAGGAAGGCAGACACCATTTCTAGCTTTGCAGATTTCATTTAGACACATGAATAGATCCCAGAGAGGACAGCAAGCATCTATTTAACACCCCTCCTCCAGGGTGGGAGCAAGGGATAGGGCAGCAGGGGACTGAGTCCAGGTCCTTGAGTGCTCAGTGTCTAGCATATAATCCAGGCTATGCCGATACCCCTCTGGCACCTAGGAAAATGGGGTGGCTCTGGAATGGGCATAGTTTGGGCATCAATTCTGAAAGGCCACTTCCAAGCTCCATAAAACCCAGAAGCAACTTCTCTGGCCTGCCCTGATGACCAAGTGGCTATCCCTGAGCTGCCACCATAACCTGCTCTCAGGAACACTCTCAATCACCCTGGTCACTATCCCTGTGTTCAGGCCCCCAAAGTGACTGCAACCCATCTCTCCAGGGGCAAGGACAGGGCTAGGCACAGCTGAGCCTCAGACTGGGGCTCAGAGCATCCGAGCAGGCACATTAGTGTGACAGGCATCCTGCCACTGCAGGGGGAGTGGCCCCACACTGATTTTTCGAGATTCTGCATCGATAGCTCGTGGAGCCAGTATTGCATTTGTGCTAGCCTTTCGAATGATGACTGATTCCTGCGGGGGAGTGGGAAGTGGGAGCAGCTGCCACTGTTGCTGACAGCCCCTGGCTGGGAGCCGAGGCAAGACAGCCACTTAGAGAGTCTGCACTGATGACCCCAGCCCTTCCCTGTGTTGGGATGTGCAGGACTCTCTGCTAGGGTTACAGGCTGAGGCCCCCATATCCCATTCCCCACTCCCTACCTTCCAGCCTTTATGGAAGCTGGCCTCCTCCACCTGGAGTCCCTCCCTGTGCCAGGCATCCACCACCCATTCCATGGTTGGTGCCACTTCTACTTTTTTGCTTGGGCTGTTTTCCTACTCAGAACTTCCTCCCTTACCCTGCCAATCTTCCTTTAGAGCCTTCCTCTGGTCCCTCTTCCTACAGGATGGCTTTTCTGACAACCCATGGCATATCCCAAATAGCTCCTTATTTGGGGGCTATAGTTAATGCTGTCTTGTTTCGTTATTTAAATAGTACCCACATGATGCCCCAGCTGCTGGCTTAGTATGCCATCAAGTCTCATGAATGCCTGATGAAGACTTTTCGTGGCCTCTGTAAGGGGATAGGGAACCTGTGTGGGGCAGAGAGGGGCTGGTGACAAGGGTAGGCGTCATGTCTAATTTGGCATCTATGATACCACCAGCTATGGGTGTGAACACTGATGCAACTCTTTAGGAAAACAGTCTACCCATGATGAATCCAGTGTCTTAAAATATGCGTTTCCTTTAACTCAGCATTTCCATGTTGTATACTAAGGAAATCATTCGAGATACAGAGATTTGTGTCAAAGAACTCTCAATACAGTGTTGTTATAGGAAAAAATAGAGAGAAACCAGGGCACTTGAACATGACAGCTACTAAAATCCTAGGAAACAAGTGTTACTTCTGACTGTGAAAATGCTTAGGTTTTCATGGCAAATGAAAAAAGCAGAATGTTAGGATGACAATTATACACAAAATAAGTGTAGAAAAAAACTAGAAAGAAACATACTGTCTTATGAAAAGTTGTCTTTAGTATAGAAATTTGTGGGGGTTTTTTCATCTTTTTACTTTTCCATATTTTCAAAAATTTATTTATTAGGTGAGTGTTGCTTTTATAATCGGGACAAACTTTGTGACACACATACAAGCAAATATCTGGACATCTCTTGTTTTGGGAGAAGTTGTGGCCCCACTACCTACCCCCACTTTCTCCTTTCAGCTGTCCAAGCCTGGGGGACCCCCAGAGCTGCCCCTATGGAACCAGTCCTTCCTCTTCCAAGGCCGAGATGGAGCTACCAACTTCTCAGAAGACACCGCCCTGGTGCTGGAGTACTACCCCTCAACTTCAAGTAAGTGCCCCTGGTGCCACACCAAAGCAGTCACACATCAGGACAAAGGTGTGAAAAGGTGTTCAGACCATCCTGCCTCTGCTTCCTGTGGGGAAGGGTCAAGGGGTCTGGGTTCCAGGGCCAACTCCCAGTGCACGCAGACAGGTGGGAGAGTGCTGGGCTGGCTTCCTTGTCCAAATGGCAGCTTTGGGGTATGGGCCCTATCTCTATACAGAGTCTATGTGTTTTTATTGCACCACCACCCCTCCCCATGCACCTATAAGTGAGGAGGGCAGGGGTGGAGCCCTCAGGGCCCACAGCCTGGTCAGGGTGGAGAGACAGGATTCAGACACCAGCTGATCCACAGTCTTAGGTCCATACTATAAGATTAAAGCCCCCAAAAGACAGGGACAAGGAAATCCATATAAATACCCAGAAACAGGAATATGGCTGGAGTTGGCCTTGAACTCAAGAAACGCTGAAGAGCAGAGAAGAAAAGGATATTTGTGTAGGAAAAGGCCAGGAGGCAGGAAACAGGTGGGTGAAGAGAGAGATGAGAACTAGGTGTTGGGTACCAAAGAATGGGGCCTCGGATGCTGGGATTTGAGAAGCCTGGGGCGGGGGCTTTGGTGGGAGCCCCAACTGGTTCTTTGCCCCACAGTGAAAGGTGGTGAGCCGTGGACCCTCAGCAAGCCTCTGGGCATCTCTGTGTTGCCGCTAAAGAGCCGTTTGTACCGCAAGATGCTAACAGGAAAAGGCCTGAATGGGTTGCGTGTGGAGAGGCTCCCTATCACTGTGAGTCCCCCATCCTGGGCCAGGCCCATGGCAGGTCCACCCAGCCCCACCCTGCCCCACCTTGCTCTACCTTGCCTCACCAACACAGGCGAATCTGGCTTCTCTAGCAGCTTCCAGCAGGGCCCTCCACCATGGAAGCTTACCACTGTCAGATGTGAGGGGTTCCCTCAAACATTGAAAGTTAGTCTTGCCCCTGGGCTTCTGATGAAATTGCCCCAGAGCAACGTAGGGGAATTTTGGGAGGCTCCATGAGATAGCAGCAAGAGCTCAGGCCTTTAACCAGTCAGACCTGAGTTCAAATCCTGACTTGCCCTAGTCCTCACTATAGAAACTGGGGCAAGTTACTTGACCTCTCTGAACCTTATAATGCCCATCTCTAAAATGGGAACATGCTTGTACACAATCTCTCTGTTTAACAAGAGTCAATACCTCAGGCTCCAGAGCTAGACTGTCTGGGTTCAAATTCTGGTTCCACCACTTACCAGCTTATATGACCATGGGAAAATTACTTAAAGTCTCAGTGCTTCAGTTTCCTGATCTGTATAATATGTTCATAGTAATAGTACTTTTCCAATAGAGTTGCTGTGAGGTTTTGGGGGCTGAATATCTGTAAAGCACTTGGAACAGAATAAGTTCTCAATAAGAATTAATGTGTCACTATCATCATTGTCTATTTCTATGCCACCTTTTCCCCTGAAATACTTCTGGTCATAACAGACCTCAACAAACGCGGGAGCGTTCCCACTCTGACAGGAGGCAAGTCTGGGTTGCCAGTCACGTCTCCAGTGGAGTTGGGAAAGGAGAGCAGAGGAAGGAGACCAGCTCCTGCCTCCCTCCTACACTCTGGGCATAGCTCTCAGGGAGCATCTTCTTGAGTAATCCAGAATGGTGGGTGGAGCAGAGACGAGTTGCCCTGGACATTGTGGTGTGAATTCTCCTTTCTTCTCCCCAGGACACCAAGCTGAAAACCATAAATGGTGACGCCCCCACAGTGAATCTCTCCTTTCAGCTGCTTTCCTCTGAGGTAAGGCTGCAGATCACGGGAAGGTCAGGGCCTGGAAGCTATGTGCCACCTCCTGTAGCCCTGCAGTGGATTCCAACCACTTTCACAATTGCAGGCCTTGTTCAGGGCTGTGGGCAGGGACTTCCAGGAGGAGGGAACTGCTGCTTTTAGATAGAAATGTCTGAGGATAGTGTGAGGCTCCAGAAAACCAGAGAGAAAGCTGAGATGAGAAAGAGGAGAGTTGGAACAGAAGGCCACCCAGACCTGGGAATCAGCCTCTAATCCAGCCCAAGCCAAGCTTAGCTTGCTGGGATCAAGGTTTTATAAGGGTGAACTAGAATATCAGCTTCTGTTGCTGTATAGCAAATTACTACAAACTTAGCAGCTTAGAACAACACTCATTTATGAACTCAGACTTCTGTAGTAGGCAGTCTTACACAGCATGGCTGAAGTCAGAATGTTGGTAGTGTCGCATTCCTTTCTGGAGGCTCTGGGAAGAATGAGCTTCTAGACTCATTTAGATTGCCATCAGAATCCAGTTCCCAGCAGTTGTAGGACTGAGGTAGGTCTCTGTTTCCTTGGGGCTGTCAGTCAAAGGCCTCTTTCAGCTCCTGAAGGCAGCCCACATTCCTTCTTACAATGGCCTCCTCGGTCTTCAAGCCAGCAAGCATGTCCAATCCTGCGCTGCACCACCCCACCACCCCCCCGGCACCTTTCAAAACTCTGACTTCTTCCTCTGTTGGCAGCCAGAGAAGATGCTCTGCTTTTAAAGGGACTCATGTGATTAGGTCAGGCCCGCTCTGTTAATGTCCCCATCTCAAGGTCCGCTGTGCCACATAACATAAACACAGGAGTGACAGCTCAGTATGCTCATGGGTTTCAAGGATTAGAGTATGGACCTTTGGGGACCCATTATTGGAATGCTGCCTACCACAGCTGGGTTGGTCCAAGTGGAAAGAGAGCAGGGGCTGAGCCCTGCCTGATGAATAGAATCTCTTCTTGGGCTCTGAGTCTAGATCAGACCCCAATCATTTGGTCCCAGTGCACCTGGCAGGCACCTGCTGTAATTTTTCCACTGTCCTCTTGTGGTGCTGGGACAGGCATGAAGCTGGGATGTGGGCAGTTTAAGACCATGAACCCAGGAAATGATGACAGAGGCTGATGTCTGGGTCAGTCCACTCCTGCCAGTTTGTCTTGCCAGGAATACTAGCCACCAACACTGGGGTAATACTTGGCCCTGTGACCTTACCCATGAAGAACACAGGGAATTCCATGGTGTGAGGGTAAGAGCTATATATCTGGGAATGTACCAACCTGCAAGTGTCTCCCCACAAGGCCTCTGGTGAGTGCCTGAGACCTCCCATTAGCACTTGCCACTGTGCAATGTTCTGCATTGCCCTCTAGAGCTTCCACTAATTCCTGGTGAGAGGGTTGTTAGATAACAACCTGACATCCCCACCACCACCAAACCAGGTGCGAAACTGAGGAGATACTGAGACGGGAGGACACAGAAGCAGCAAAAGACCCCAAGAAAGTAAAGGAGAGTCCTTGGAAAAAATGTCACAGGCTACCCAGATTGGAGCTCAACCCTCCATGCCCTCTTCTCAGTGCCTAGGGTCTGCCAATGGCCACTGCCAGCCCCTTCCTCACCTCCCCCTGCTGCCTGCTTCTTCACTGGGGCATATGTTTTCTGGGGACAAAAAGGAGCATCAAGTGCCCCTGGTCAGGACACTGGGAGACCCAGGCAGGCAACAGGCAGGTGGGCAGGACACTTCCCCGGTTGCCCAGGGGCTGGGCACAAAGGTCTCAGTGATGAATTATTCACCCGAGCTGTGCTAAGTGCAGAATTAATCCCTTTCCTTCCAGCTGGCGACCTCACTAAATTATCCCTCCAAGTCATGCGGGAAAACACTGTGAATTCATTGAGCAGCTGAGTGTTTTGATCTGGGCCTTGTGATTTTAGCTTCTCTTTCTCCCAGCCCCCCACCCCTGGAGGTGGGTAAAAACCTTTCAGTAATGAATTTCTGAGAAGAAAGGAAAAGAAAGAGGATCAAGATTGGGTGTATACCAGGAAAATAGTACTAGAATAAATTCAGACTCTGCAGCCAAGAATTCATACACACAGTTCTACACATACTCCCTCACACAACACATGGACAGTCACATGTGCACAAACATGCACACTTGCACACACACCCCTTTGCAAGGGTGCACACACTTAATGCATATATACATACTCACACACACGTGCAAACTAATGCACAAATGTTTTTAAACCCACATTGGTACACACACAGAAGGTAAATCTTTTTGTGGCTAAACTATTTCTTGGTGAAACTATCTGGGAATTGGCCAATAACCAGCTCACTTTGATTCTAGAATGCTGAAGTCCAATTTGGGGGCCTGGGGATGAAGCGTTAATGTGGGTAGACTTGGCATAAGGTTCTTGTAGCCATAGCACCCAGCCATTTAGTTTTTTATTCTACATATATTTGATGAGGACTAGAATTTTGGCTGCTCTTGTGGGTTGCAATGAACATGGAAAGGGACGGGCATCCATAGAACCCATTTGCCTTGAATTCACCCTCAGCAGTCTTGGACATGGCTCGCTCTCTGCTAGCATCTGAGCCCTTTTGGTGCCCTTCTCCCTCCAGGTTGGAGGAAAAGTGTTGAGAACTGATGAACAGGTCAGATAGCATTGCAGCTAAGTCTAAAGGGCCCATCCCCAGCTCCATCCCTCACTATCACCTTCGCAGTCACACCGTTATCCTCCGTGCAACTGCAAACTTAATGAGTACCTGCTATTGTAGCAGATACCGTCCTGGTTTCAGGGATCTTACACTGAAGATGAGAAAAAGGGCCTGTCTTCATAAAGCTTGCATTCTTAGAGAGGAGGGAGTGTGGACCAGACGATGAGCAAATTAATTCGTGAGCAGGTGTCAGCTCCTAATAAGAGGCCTGATTAACCCAAACAAGGTGACATGACAGAGAGTGCTCAGACAGGTTCTGTGGATTTGGCTGCCATGACAAAGAGACCAGGTTCCTTCCATTTTATTGTTCCACCTAAGGTATTGTTCATAAGTTCATGGTAGAAGGTACTTGGCCTTCACCTCTGCATTCCAGCCTGTGACACCAGAACCATCAATTCTTCTACCACTTAAATCAAATGCTGTTCAAAGCTCCAAGAGCCCCCACCTAAAGCCTGGTGGTCTCAGAGTCCTGTGGACATTCCAGCTGCAAGGAGACTGCGATAACAGTTCCCTCAGGACCTCTCGTCCATGTGGCTAACAACTTCATCTTAGGGGCAGGTCCTTGCTCATAGGCAGATGTGCTACAGAGAGAACTACCTCAGGAGAAATGAATACACGTGCCCTACTTGGATCCCTCCCATTTGAGGACACAGTCTCTTTCCTGTAAGCCTCCACAGGACAGCACAGGCCATCCTGGTTAATTGATATTTTGGTGAACAAAGGCTCCCCACACCCACTGCTTCCACATCACTCATTCTCAGAGTCCTAGGAACAAGAGTGTTGTGGAATTCCCAAATAGGCAGAGACCACAGAGGTGTCTCAACAGCCCACCCCAGACAGGACTCTCCTTGATGACATCCACTACAGGTGATCAGCTTGGCTTCTCCTTTTGCTCTGCCATGACTGGGAGCCCACTACCTCTAGAAGCAACCCAACCCATGCTTCTACAACTAATAAAAACACTCACCCCACATTGAGCCCGCCCTGTCTCCCTGGGCCTTCCCTCTACTCCAGGCTCCTGGGTCTGCCCTATGGGACTGAAGTGCAACCCCAGCAAGTCTCCCACACCAATTCTGAGAACACTGGTACATGGTCAGCCATTCAACGCGCCAACAGGCAGACTAACCAAGAAAGCCTGCAGTATCAGTGAATGGCAAAAAGGGGTGGCCTCCTAGTTTAGGATATTGTACTTGAAGCTGGTTCTGTTGGTAATGGGTTAAGCTTTTTCCCTCTGGTGGGGCTTCTCTATGGGCACCAGCTGCTTCGAGTGATCTGCCTTAAGCTGGATCTGTGTGTGTAGATGAATAAGTCAATAACTACACATAGAAACATAGAAAAAATTCCCCTTATTGCACATTCTGTGGTGGTTGACCTTGGGGGTCCATTAGGCTCTAAAAATCCCTGAGCCTATAGCTACTCCACATACACGTACACAAATAAACGTTTGGTCTCTTCCACTCTCTTTCTGATGTTGGCCTCTTCTCTTTGAAGAGTTTGATCTGGTCCCACAGGAACTTATGCTTCTCCAGGCTAAGCAGCCTCTCCTTTTAATGAACTGGTTTCAAGATACTGCAGCATCTTTGGTACTCTCTGGCTTGCAGACAGTCTCTTTGAAGTGAAGCCCACACTGGCCAGGCTTCTTAGGCTGACCTATGTGGACTGGAGCTTGGCATGCACACAGCAGGTGCCTGTTGTGTCAGTCTTGACCTCCTATGAGGTGGGTCAATTCATGGCTGGAGTTTGGGGTACAGAGTCTTGCCTAGGCAGGGTGCCAGGGCACCAGGCAGAGGTAAGGCCTCTCAGACGGGTGATTATCCTCATCTATCCTACATCCCTTAGAGATGCTGACAGGACTTGAAATCCACTGGCTTCCTTGGATTTTGGCACAAGAAAGGTGCATTTGAGAAAAGAAAGAGGTGGTATCTGCTGCCACCCACTAGGGGAAGGGACGGATCCCACGGTCTATCTGATTCTTTCCTTCCCTGTTTCCCTCACAGAAAGGGAAAGGTGGGTCTTTGATGCCATGCAAAAGGTTTCCCTAGTGTTTTAATTCAAACCAGTTACAAAGCTCTCTCTGCGGACCCACCCAGAGTGGGAACAAGTAGCTGCTTAGAAAATGTGGACAAGAGGGCAGGGGATAGGCTGCTGGTTTTCGATGAATTTTTTTTAATTTCTTTGAAAGGCATACATGACAGCCATAGGCTGGTCCTCAGAGAAGCCCCAACACAAGCCAGTCTCCATTTCCTCACAAGCACAGTCACTTGGAAGGCC